GTTTCAGTCATTTCTTGGAAATAAAAACTGCAAAAGAATCTCATATGAAGAGCAAGTTATACAACCACAATGCATATGCAGAGGTCTAGGTCAGTTCCATGCAGGCTCCCTGGTTGTTGGTTCAGTGTCTGTGAGTCTCTATGATCCCAAGTTCTCTGGGCTTTCTTGTGGTGCCCTTCACACCACTTTGCTTTACAATTCTTCCTTCCCCTCTTCCGCAGGATTCCAGAGCTCAGCCTAATGTTTGGCTGTGGGTCTCTGTTTCCATCAGTGGCTGGGTAACAGTGAGAGCAGGGTCTCTGACTCTCTTGCCTGCTTTTGGGACCCTCTCCTCCTATTGAAGTACCTCATCCAGCCTTAATAGAAGAGGAGGAGCCTAGTCTCACTGAAGCTTAATACATGGTGGCTGGCTGATCTCCACAGGAAAGTCAGCCTGTATCTTAAGAGAAACAGTAGAGCGAATAGTGGATGAGGTACGGGTGGAGGAGTGGGTAATGGGGGAGGGGGAGAAACAGGGAAAAGGGGAGGGAGGGGAGACTTTGATTGGAATGCAACAATAGAAATAAATAAATGAATAGATAAATCGTCATCAATAACAACAAAGCCAGAAAGTGGAAGCCCAGGAAATAGATGTGGTGAGCGAAAGTGAACTCAGTCACCGCCCTGTAGATAGAGATAGTGGTTGCTCTGAGAGGAATGATCCAGCTAAAAAGTCCATGGGGTAGCACCTTAAAGAAATAGCAATACTGGGAACCTTGGATATGCTCCCCAATTTTTCTGGTTGTCTTGTTTTGACCCCAGGAGAAATTCCCTAAGTGTTTCCCACTGCGGATTAGCTGGGATAACCCTGTGGCGTTTCCCTAGTGTGAAGGTTGAAGAATTCTTACTCTTCCCATCCACCTCAGTATTCACTGTTGCCCTTCCTTTTACTTATAAAGGATTGCAGTCTGTCACGAGGGGTGCAAATTGTACCCTGATGTTGAAATCTGATTTTTTTGAGCCCCTCTCCCTTTGACTTGGGTTAAAACCCTCAACTTTGGTGGTCTGTGTTAAAACAGGCATACTGCTGACATCACAGGCATGTCTAGGCCTTATACGTGGCAATCAACATTGGACATGGCTGATGCTTTCTCTTCAGTTGGAGGGCCTAGTTCCTAAACCTCTCCTTCCTCAGAGCCTCTCCTAAGTCTGAAAGCTGCTCTTCAATTGCTGCTGTGAGAGACACACCTGTCGTCAGCTGACCAAGAAGCTCTCTTCTCAGGTCTGCATGAAACCATTGACAGCAGCAAAGTTTCCATGGTTAACTAAGTGTTAGAGTTTATGATGAAGACTGCCCTTATCTGAACAACAAAATACCCAGGGTATTAACGTAAGCCCATGGAGGGCTTACTATATCGCCAAGGAAAAGTTAATCTTTCAGGAAAATAAGAGGCATTTAGTATTTGGGAGGGGGGTTGTTTAATAATCAGCTTTTAGGAAAGCAAGAAACTTTCTCAAGTTCTGAGTAGAACATATGATCTTGCTGTTTGCCAAGCCATTGTCCTTAAACTTATTATTTTAATTTGTTTTTCCCTTAGCATATCTGCCCTCTTCCCAGCAAGCTCTATACTGACCCCATCAAGTGACCACACTCTTTCTGAAGTGAGTGCTGACATCACACACAAAAATAATCTCTAGTTTAGTGGAAGAATGTCTCCTGTGTTCCTGGCAAACCCTAGACACCCAGAGGTTTCAAGTGTGCAGATCTTTGTATGTGTTTCTTAGTGCGATTTCATCAGTCACAGAGGAAGACTTCTAATTACTTTGTTTATACATGTGTGATTTAATGAGGCTAAACACTCAACCAACCTTCAATAAGTGCAACCTACTTCCCATTGCTTTTTCCAAATTAATAAAAAGCCATGCCAAGCACATTTTCTGGAAATGGGAGCGTTGTGCAATTCAAAAGAAGGGAGAATTACAAGGGCAGCTGACAGGTTATGTATAATTTGTAGGCAGTCTGAACAGCCAGGGAAGCATTAGACTTGGAGACCAAGGTTCAAATGCATTGTGGAAGGAAGATGAAGTATGATGGAAGGATTTATCATAAAGTATTCTGCCAAATTCCCAAGGCCAACACTAAAATTCTGGTATGTTTTAGAATAACTTCCTCTAAGAAGCAGTGCTATATTTCTGGCAGATTGAACCCATGATCTATTTATTATTATCTTTGTTTCACTTTTGAGTCCCCTATTCTGGTTATTATGTTCACACTTTGAGAGAACTGAAGATGAGGCATTGCTATTACAGATATTTCATTTGAATAATAATATAGAAGCATCATCATTGTTAGTCTAGAAATAAATGTGGATTTTAAATTATCTTCTAATTGACTTTGAAGTTCTACAGACGTGAATCCATGCTCCAGGATGCTGCTCAGGAGAAGAGTGCTTCTCCAGAATATGGGATCTGCTAGGTTCTGCCCTAGAACTGCAAACATCTCTGTGCTGGGATGTATGCAAGAGCAGCATGCTTGCCCAGCAAGTGTGACACCTTAGATTTTCTTTGGAAACATTCATAACCACGTTGGATTCATCTTCTTTAAAGAGATGAGAGGGCTGTTGTAAGAGGCCACTTGTATGTTTCCCGGCTGTCCAGACTCCCAAAATAATCACACAGAAACTATATTATTTTAATCCCTGCTTGGCCAATAGCTTGAGCGTATTGCTAGCTAGCTCTTACATCTAAAATTAACCCATTTCCATTATTTTATATTTTACCATAAGGCTCGTGGTTTACTGGCAAGGTTCCAGCTGGCAGCTCATGTCTTTCCCCTCTGGTGGCTACATAGCATCTCTCCTGACTCCGCCATCTTTCTCCCAGCATTCAGTTTAGTTTTCCCTGCCTAGCTGTACTCTACTCTATGACAGACCAAGGCAGATTCTTTATTCATTCACCATTAAAAGCAATACATATACAGAAGGACCTTCCACACCAGAAGGCAAAGAAGAGCAACACTATCCTTACATTTGGATTCAAGTGGTGCCATTGATTTAGAACTGTTTAGATCTAGGAGTCACCAAGTCACAGTCTGTGGATCGCATTCCTCGATTTCCAGTCTGATATGCAAAAGCTTTATTGGAATACGTTCATGATCATTTGTGTGTGGTCTATGCCTCTTTTTGTAGTGCAAAGGTAAAATTGAATATGTGCAACCAAAGCTTAGTATCCTGCAAAACTGAAAGGATCTCTAGCCCTTTATAATAAAGACTTTCTGGTCATAGATTTCACCCATAAACAAGAATAGACATTAGTAAGCAAAGACAATAGATAATAATGGTTGACTTGTTTGTAATGAAATAAAGACTCGAGACAGTATTTTTTTTTTAAGTTGGTGAAAACCTTTTATGCTTAGGTCCTTCTGAATCCATACAGCTATTCCTCACATGGAGACGAAAGGTTGAGCCTCAGATGACTGAGGAACTACTAGTTAACAAGCAAGGGCATATAGACCGTGGCTGATCTTTAATGCAAATATGTAAAGCCTCTTTCCAAGATGAACTAATCTTAGTTTATGAACTCGGTTTGTAGTAACATAAAATGCGTGAGCTTGAAAGACAGGTGGACTTCCAGGTGAAATGTTTCTAGCGATTCAAATACAAAAATGACCTGACGTTTGGAGTTTCTGGTCCTCTGGGGAGTGGAGTGGCAATGCCTGTATCTAGAGGGTTCTGTGAGGATTAAGAGCACATTTAAATGCTCATAGAACCTCTAGTGGCAGATAACTAGCAATAAGTGTGTTGGCCTTGTGTGACGACTTGAAATGATGTCACCAGCAAAGAAATACAAGAAAAACAAGTTGAAGGCAACACACAGGATCTCAGCAGACCCCAGGCATAGAAACTTCTTTGGTTTGCCTAAAAGTCCCCTGTACAGTTATAGCCAGAGATATATTCTTAGAACTTGGTAGCTTTTTTGGGGGAAAGCTTTTTATGATAATATTACTCTTTATAGTGAAAAAATTCTTTCAGTAATAATTTTTCTTTTTTTCTATCTTTATTCTTTTCCCTCCCCTCCCTTTCTCTCTCTCTCTCTCTCTTTTTCTCTTTTTTGAATCCAAAGTTGTTCACAGGAATAAACTGCCACCTTCTTTCATTCCAGAAGGCTGGAAACAGTTGTGTTAATACCTGGTAATCTTTTTTATTTCAAAAGCTAGCCCTCACTGAATCCCCCAGAATGTGAGCATTCATTCTCAGTTAATAGAATCCATCCTATGCTTATGACAAGCCCACCCTCCTTAAGACCCTGTCCTGAGCGCTGTTTCTCAGGGATAGAACCCATTCTTGTTTAAAAAGGTGCTCTGCTAAAGGCTACACTTTGCAATGGAGTCTCTCATGCAACCATGCCTAAAGCTTTGTTGTGATAATTGTCACGTGGAAACTTTTCCCCAGAGTTTTGCTGTATTTAAATGTGTAAGAAATACATCAATGGGGGCAGATTCCAGGAGCTTTGACCCAATACCAGCTAACTAAAGTCAAGTTGATCCCAAGTTCCATTATCCCCTCACCCAGATAGTTTCTCCACATATGTGAAATAAACATAGATTGAAATATGTAAGGGAAACATCCACTTGTACTATTCTGGTGCTTACACAGGACACAATGAAATGTAAGACTGCTAGCATTAATGAAGCAAAGAGCATGGTGTTTCACCCTTGTGAAATCAAACAGAAACAAATGGATTGCAAAGGTGGAAATCGGTAGTTAGTGCTAGGAACATTTAGGGGAAACGAGATTTTATTATAAAGATTTTAATTTACTCTAGGCAAGTATTTTTCTACTGAAGTATACTGAAATGTGTACATGTTAAAGTTGTTTCCTAATGTGCTTCTCTTCAGTGGGTTCTGCGTTGGTCATTTCCCCTTATATGATTACGCACTCTCTTCTTTTATGCTCCAAGCTTTCTGTTGCGTGTGAAGTCACCTCTCTCCTTCTTCTGTTCTGATTTCCCGCTGCCCACAGACGCCGGGTCACCAGTGTCCTTGAGTCGGTAGGAGGAGCAGATTCTCCTCAGTTCTCGTCAGCACCAGCTGGTCAGCAGGAAACCTCAACAGAGCCCGGAGAGCACCATGTTCTGCAGGAAGTTTAAGGATCTCAAGATCACAGGGGAGTGTCCTTTCTCCTTACTGGCCCCTGGTCAGGTTCCTACAGAGCCTCCAGAGGAGGTGGCAGGAGGCTCTGAGGGCTGCCGGGCCACTCTGCCCATCTGCCAGGACATTCCTGAGAAAAATCCACAAGGGAATCTCCCCCAAAGAAAGACAAGCCGCAACAGAGTCTACCTCCACACTCTGGCAGAAAGTATTCGAAAGCTCATCTTCCCAGAGGTGAGTGCTCTCCTTTAACAAGGACAATGAAGTTTCAAAAGTGGAAAAGAAACGGTTTTCAAAAGGAAATATTTAGAAATGAGTTTCTTGCTTTTAATGGCATGAGAAAAAAAATTCCTTGAGACATATGAAAACTGCCTTTTTAAGTAATTATATTCTAAATTGTGGGTCATCTTCTTAAGTCTCATATCTTGAATTCCTTTCTTTTTTAATTAAATTTTCCATGTATTTTGCATACCAACCACAATTTTTCTTCCCTTCTCTCTTCCTATTCCCTCCTCCCACCTCCCATCTATCCACCCCATCCACTCCTATTCAGTCAACGTGAATTTCCTTCAAAAATAATCATGAAATTCTGACAAACTTTGTGTCTTTGCTTCATCCCCCAACCTCAGCGTCCGTTATCTGTAACATGGAGCTATGTCTCACCTATCCCTGAGTGTTACTGCTCACTGAATGAAATCACCCTCCACTCTTGCCCTGGAAATACTAGACAGGTGGGATGGTGTGATCCCAATCAAACCTCTTTTAACACAGGCCAGGGAGGGGTGGGGTGGGTGGTGGTGGTGGTGGTACCTGCAGAATGGGAGGGAGACCATAAGTGAAGCTCCAAGGAATGATAGATATCAGAAAGTTGAAGACATTTGTTTCAAAGATGGTATTTATTGCATGCTACACCTTCATGACTTTTGAACTGCAAATATTTAATCATTTTTCCCAATTCCAGTCATTATATACCCAGCTTTGTTGAGACTGAGAGACATAGCCCTTCCCATGGAAATGACTTGCATTGTAGTCTTGGAAGTTTTACTCAAAGACAGAGTGAACTAGAGGGTGGCTAAAAGGGCAGTGCTCAATATTTTTCTTTAATGATTTCTGTTGCTATTTCATTTTTCTCATGAATAATTTTCTTGTCTTTGATTGTCAACATCCTCTCACACGTTACTAAACTTCCTCAAGATTATGGTTCTGAATTATCTGCCATGCCTCTAGGGTTGATGGCTGGAGATTAATTTCTGTCCACTCTCACCTTCTCCTGGTTCTTTGTATTGCTTTGCTATGCTGTCTGTGTATTCAAGAAGCTACTGGATTGCCCGCCACTGATAACCAACTTTAGTGCTGGAAATACGTCAAACAATTGTCCAGCCAGAAGTTCTGGAAGTCTCAGAGATCTTTTCTATGCCATGTTCTTTCTTTTTCCCTCCTCATCTGCTGGAGGAGTAGTCACATGCATGCCTTGCCACAGTCCAGAAGAAACAGGCAGACTATTGCAAACTATAGGGATTCTTGTAGGGAGGAATATGTTGGCTCTATTTATTGGCATTCTTCCAACAGTTAAGATCATTTGCTTTAGGGCAGCAAATGAAACCTTGATAAATATGTTTGAAATGGGTCTTGATCAGTCTGTTCTGCTTTGTCAGCTGTCCAAATATCTGCTTGGTCTTTTTTATAAAAACATCTGCTTTTCATGAGTTATGTTTTGAGTTGACACATTCAATCTTGTGTTTTCGCTTCAGTAAGTTTAATAAACTTATGAAAGATATTCAAAATTCAATTCATAGTAGTAGTTCTTACTTCAGGTTATCAGATTTAACTCTTCAATTGTGTCTTCATGGGGGATGGTAAAAATGACAATTCATTAGCCTTAGCAAATTATTAATAGGAACTCTCCCTTCAAAAAAAATGAAATGGTTGTATTTGAAGGAGCTTCCTTGATCACCAAATGACAAATTACCATTTCTACTTGAAAAGCAACAACTAAGGCACATAAAGTTAGATCATTTGTTCAAAGTGAAAGAGATAACAGTGAAGGAGAACTCTATCTCATTAGTAATTCACAGCATTATAATTTATCCTTGTGAATTAAAACATCATTGGTTTATTAAAACACTAACCTCTGAAGAGTCTTCTGGGGAGACATCTCAGTGGGCAAAGTGTTTTGTATGCAACATGAGAACCCGAGGTTAATGCTCAGAACTCTAGAAACCTGGGTGTGATGGCATACCTTCTAACCCCAGCACTAGGAAGGCTAAGGGAGATGGGCTTCTCGCTGGTCTTGCTTGCAGGCTAGACAAGCTTCATTAGCAAAACCCAGAGAGATGTCTTACTTTAATATGAGAACAAAAACAAACCCAAGAAGCAATACCCATGTTTGATTGCTGGAGTCCACCTGCCACGCAGGTAGAACATGTGTACAGACAAACACCCTTCCACATACACATTTACCACTTCAGTGTCTGGATGGAGAAATCAAAAGACATGCAACATGAAGAAAGACACTTCGTGCACCAGGCCTTTGCCAGGAAACTCTTTGCCTAGAAAAACCTTATATTTTATTTGAACCAATTCACTTTAATAACAACAATGAATGTTGTCTGATTTTTCCTAGGGAGACATATAATGTGCTCTAATTACCCCAGATAGGGCATAGTGATTGCAAATAAATATAATAAGTATTCCATCCAAGGACAGCTTTGTGAACTGATAAGCTTATTGAGGTTACTTCCAAGACTATAGGTAGTCCACAGACAGCTGTATCATTCAAAAGTCTAAACAGAAGGCAAGTGATGACTTCTCAAAGCGAAATAAAGAGTCTCTTCTTTAATTAATCTTCTACCTCTTTTAGACTCCTGAATCCCCCAAGATCAAGCACATTTACAGGACAGCAGAAAAAAATGACTGGAATCCCAGGGAGGGATGGAGTCCCTATCCACTCTCAATTTCTTTTGTTAGGGAGTGTTAACAACTTCTGTACTATGTCAATAGAATTGGTTATCACTGTATTATTGTATTTCATTGTTCTAACTATGGGGCCAAGACCATTTTGTAGGTTCCCATAGCAACCTCTCTTAAATGATGGCTGGTGGTCATGTCAGGCTCTGGTCTTGTCTGGCACAGAAGAAGCCACCAAGTACAGCACCATTATAAGACAAAGTTAGAGACCTGCAGAAGTACACTACAACATTCTACTCATGCTTCCTTAAGAATCCAATACTTCTTTTAAGGGAAGATCAGTCTGATTCAAGTAAAAAAAAAAAATCCAAAACAGCATGTGTTCCACAATCTCTAGGAATGCTGGAGAAATGCATTAAGTTTACTCCCGCCCAACATACTATGCCAGTGCATGTTAGGAGGAACGACCCAACAAAGACCCTGGAGACCATAGGAAGGACTGGAAACGCAAAGAAGGAGTTTTGAAAATAGCAAGAGAGTGCACCTGAGGGAGTACTTGTAATTGGAGAGTGAGAGAGAAAGATGTCTCTCATAGACCACACAGGGCACAGGATCAATTTCCCATTGACAGCACTGGTTAGATTTTCTCCCTTCAGGGTCCATCAGAGGTTTCAGATCAAGAGCTGATCGATATGGGCAAAATGGACTTTTCTTGCCCACTGTGGGCTTCTACGTCACTAGATAAGATAGAAAACAAGTGAAAAACTGCTTGAGTAGCAATCAATACTGATGGAAAATCAAGACCTCCTACACAGAGGAGAAGTAGCACCCCTCCCTCCCGTGATCCGCTCCTCACATGGATGTCTTCGTCAGAATGGAGAACTCCCAGAAGTCTGTGGTTTCCTGGGTTTGTATCACACTGGTGTCTATGGCTAGTGATGTAGGCTAACTGCGGAGAGGAAGGCTCTTGAGAAAATGGGTTTCTTAGGCACCTGCCTGGAATGTTCCTTAACACTCTCATGAGTTGCATTGGGCCTTTTTCTTACCTCGCCATGAAAGACTACTGGGAAGTACACCAACCTGTTCCCTTCTGAACCTAGTGCTCATCCATTAGCTCTCTGTCACAGGGTCACCCAGACGTACTCAGAGTCTACCTTTTGGTACATCTCTCTGTTTTTCTTCATCCTGTCACAGATGGGTCCCCATTCTCCATTCCCAAACCATCAAAAACTTTGCCCTATACTATAAATTTAAAATCTCTTGGAATTTGTTTTGAGGGATTATGTTTTTTTTGAATAAATTTTATATGCATTTTCTAAGCTTGATCTGCATGTTTAAAACTCAAAGTCCTTTATGAAAAAACTATTACTACTTTTATTTTTTTAACATTGCCTTCTGTGGCTAGTGGAAACTTGATGAGAGATATAAATAGATTAAGGCAAAAGGAATTTCCCAACCTGGACCCTATCCAGAAAGTTCTTGACTTTCCTCTGTGTAAACTGAAAATAAGAATCAATGATCATGTCTCCACGCCTAGACATGTGCAATTTTCATTCAAGATGCAAAGCTGAACATTTCTCCTCAATGTTCCCCTTTTTGTTTATTAAGTATAAGCAAAGATACATTAAAAGAGTTTCAAAACTGCTTATGGGGGGAGCATTGCCTATATATGTCTCACAAAAAAGAAAAATTCAAACTCTCAGAAAGCAACGAAAGAGAGTAAGACACCAATGATTGGTAAGGATTGTTAGTTCAGACCCTGGAAATCGGTACAGCTTAGATAGACCCATGACTCGTGAAATAAACAATCCTGTTGACAGATGAAATTGAGGACTTAAAAGGGAAGCAGAGATAACTGCAGATGTTTTGAGGAGAGTCTGAAATGTGAGCCGAGAGTGTGGGAAAGGCGCTGGAGTCGTGGTGAGCTGTGGAGGGGATACTGTTTAGCAAGGGAACAGCGTGTTTGGCTTGAGCTGCAGCTGAAATATTGGCAGTGTGTCCAGGGAGACTTCTTGGCCAGGAGGAAGAGATGGTATGGATTTGTGCATTACAGAGGACCTGACATTTTCTGTTTGGGGTCAGACTATTAAGCTTGACTCTCTGCGAGACTTACAGCCTTGGGACCCCCCATGCAACCAAATGCAAACTAGTCTGAGCTCACTGGTTCTTCCCAGGATTGAAAAACACGTGGGAAAGGAGTCTCAGTTCCCAACACAGCAAATTCACCACCCTCGCCGTTCAGTGAAAGTTCCCATTCTCTTATGAGAAACCTTAAGGAAACTGTTGCAAATATTTCTTTGTATTTCCAGTTTGAGCGACTGAACCTTGCCCTTCAGAGAACACTGGCAAAGCATAAGATTGAAGAAGACAGGTAAGTGATCCTGCTCTGGTTGTATGAACCCCCATCATGAAGACACTGTTCAAAATGATCCATCCTTACTGCATATATTGGTTTGTGCTGTATTTCTAATATATCTCTGAATTAAACTAAAATAAACGCATTCACTTTTAAAGATTTGAGAGAGTTGAAAGGTTGGTCTACGTGCTTTAAAAAAAAATCTGGTTTGTATTGTTAGTTTTTTGTTTACTTGTCTTTTTTTTTAAATAAGGCTGGTCACATGGGCTTCTGGTGGATAAATTTGTACCCCTGTTCTCCATATTTAATTTGTGAATAATAGAATTATTTTTATTATACGGAGTGCAAATTTGCAGAAAACTTAGGATTTTGCATGCCAACACCACAATCTACAAACACCTTCATGCACTCTTCCTCCCCATAAGCACTTGTCTATTCTATGAATTGTCTGGGCTGGATTTTCCTGCTGAGTAGCTGCAGCCAGACTTCAGACAGGCAGCTGGGCTGAGCCAAGCAAGAGTCGGAAACTGCCCAGGAGAGTGTGAATCCTTGTCTGACAGAAGCTTTGTTTATAGGACAGACCTGACAAGCATCCCAGAGGCGCCTCTGCCTCTACCCACAATTCCCAGACAGGCTGATAAGATAGCCACCAGCCAATCTTTCTGTGCTACTGGGGCTGTCTGCGCACGTCCCTGGCAGTCAGCTTGTTTGAGATTTATTCTCGGGCCTTTGTGCTCTGAGATACCCCTGCTGCTGGATGGAGATTTGTTTTCTGCGGTGCACCCTGTAGGAGAGCCCTCAAAATCCTTTCATTTGGAAATCCTTCTTAAGGAAAAGAGAATGCTGATTCATGATGATGACCCAGTTGGTGCAGTAGGGTTTCCCCTTCTGCCTGCTGGTGTGGAGTGGCTCTGGCTCCTTCCACTTTAATTCTGGGTGCGTCTGTCCCTCACTTGCATGTTGTGCTACCTTGATCTGCCAGCAGATGAAAACACCTCAAACCTGTTCCGTGCAGCTTATTTCTGGGACTTACAAACCAACAGAACACGAATCATGTATGAAGCAGTGCACGTTCCTTGAATGAAGGGACAGAGCCCAGTTCTTATCTAATACAATCACTGTGACTCCCTCTGGATGCGGTCCCTCCCCCACTTCTTTCACTAGAGGTGGATGAACTCACAACTGGGGTGTGTGTGTGTGTGTGTGTGTGTGTGTGTGTGTGTGTGTGTGTGTGATGGATGCATCTACTGGCTGCTCCCAAGTCTTCCTGTCTGCTGCGTTTTGTTAAACAAGGGATGCTTAGTTTAGAGGTCATTGTGTGCTGGATGGAATGACTCTGCTCTTATCTGACAGCATATGAGGAAATGGCAGAATTAGATGGAGGAGGCTCACTCTTACTTTTTAGGGGAAAAAAATCTGCTTAAATGAAAAAAAAAAAGAAAGGAAAAATAAGTATTTGGTGTGATCGTGGATTGGCTAACAAAGGGTTTGCGAGTCTCCACATCCAAATTCAGCATAGTGTTGTATGATGATCCTGAGTCCATTTAGATAAAGTATTCCTAGCCAGCACTTTCCGTACTTGCAGGCATCACATTCCTATGGAACAGGGTGGTGCTGTGGGCCATTTTCTTGACTGCAAATATTTACTTCTAAAACTTCTTAAATTGTATCATGTTTTATTAAAAGGCTGTTTAAAATAGAGAAATATACCTGCATTTAAACTTGGCTCAGCTAATGGTAAGCTGAACCTTGCAATTAAATAGATTATTTGATACTCGTAAAGCACTTGAATAGTTTGGCAAAAGTGGCCATAATCAGTCACCATAATGAGGAGTTTTCAGAAAGCAACTAGGCAAAGATATCTCACAAAGTTGTCCAGTCAGTGTACGAAGCCAACAACGTTCTCTATGACTGAGCATCAGTGGTCATAAAAAACACGTTGTTCTTACACACAGAAATGCCAAAAAGTATAAATGATCAATTAGGAACTACAGAAAAAAAATGAAGAAGATGCTAATTTTAGCCTATGACTACAAAACCTAGACAGACAGAAAAAGAACCTAAAAATTCAGAGGAAAATCATAGCGTTAGAGCAAATTTTCTGGTAAATAAGATACATAAATTCTATTTCATTTTTTTCTACTGTTAAAAAATAAAGATGGCCCAATTGAAATTATTTCAGCTTCCTATTGATGCCCATGTTGGCTATCTTTGTATTAAGCTTCCTTTATCTGGAATGCACTGATTGGTGAGAAAAATAGATTTGAAACTAGTTTACATGTAAGACTAGGCATAAGTGTGGAGGAATAACGTCTGATATAAAGATCCCTAATCTCAGCAGCAAGGACTCCTGTGTTTTATGCTTTAGCTTCAGGAGAAGACAATACGGAACTACAGTGAAATCCACCGTAGGTAGATTTTTATCTCAGACAATCAGCCCCTTGAGAGCATAGTAGCATCTTCTTCTTTTATTTATTTTGGTGGCAGGGGTGGGGCTCAGGCCCTCTGTATACAAGGCAGTTCCTCTGCCATTTAACAGTGGCTTGTCATCCTCCTGGTGACTTGCCAGAGTAAATTCTCTTTCTCAATGGCCTCTGTGAAATGCGTCGCAGAGACAAAGGCTCCTGGCGAGGAATTGTAAGACTCCCCACACTACGCACACCTTGGGGTTTCCCCAAAAGTGTCTTGAGCTATTCAATTCAATAGGAAGCTGCTTGTTTCCTATACTGCAAGTCGAGATTCGTTTCTGGAAAATCGTTATCTTATGTTATCTATATGTTGCATATAATCTGAATTTCCAGCATTTGTTTATCAGCTTATGATTTAAGATACTTAATTATTTCCAGGAAATCTTCGGAAAAAGAAGACCTTGAAAAAATAATTGCAGAGCAGGCAATTGCAGCAGGTAATAAATAAAATTATTTAAGCATATGCAAAATTAGGATGCATACCACATTCCCAAATGACTAATATTTCTCTCAACATTTTTTTATTTATTGCTTAGCGACTCCAGTATGAAGTGTTTGAACTCTGTGTACTAAGGCAGAGTAACCCTTTCTATACTGCACGTTTTTGCGGGTCCTCAAGCATTTCCTCTTTTTAAGTGTTTATTTACTGAGAAGCAGATAAGGCTGTGTGGGAAGCTGATTCCCAGGCGTTCACATTTACAGGCTGTGGTCTTAATCCAAACTATGTCTTCCTCGTTTGCATACAAAAAAATCTGTTCCACAAGGCAGATTAAAGAGTATTTTCAAAGGTTGGAAGTAATCATGGGAAAACAGTCTGGCAGAGTTCCCACATTAATAATTAGCTCCAGGCCAAAGATAGATGAGAAGTGACTGCTGGCAATCCCTTCCAGAATATGGGTGTGAAAACCGAGAGGCTACAGGCTTGCAAAAGTACTGCTTTTATGAAATATAATGTTAGCAACGGCTACTTTGTACTGAGCCGTTCTTGGAAGATAGACACTGTTCTAAAATAATCCCCACGGCACACAATATTCCTCCAAGAAAGTAGCATTGTCTCCTACTTTACAAGAGAAAAATGTATGAAACTTCTCAGCAATAGATGGAGACCAGTTGCAAAAAAAACCACAACCAATCAAATTAGAGAGTCATGGAGTCCAGTTCCAATGGGCACATCGACAAAGCATTCACACATGTAACACAGGCTGGGAGTCGCTAAGCTATGTAAGGGAACATTACAGAAGAGGGGGCAGGAAGATGGGAAGAGTCAACGCACCAGCGAGTTTGCTGTAAGATTGTGTCTCCTAGCAATATAAGAAGCTAGACTCAGAAAGTCTCAGCAACCTGACTGCCCAATCATGAGCTGCATAAGGACATTACCAGTGGGCCTGACAAACTGAGTGGGGAGAAACCCACAAAGCCTCAGCCCTCTGCGAGGAACTGCAGGCAACTGAGGAATCTCCCAGCGCAGGAGAAATAGTCTTCCTGGGAGAAGAGCAGACCGATTAACTCATCATCCAATACCAAATGCTCAGCCCTGAAAACACACATTCGAATAGTATTACAGAGACCGCGCAGTTTTAGACTTATAGCTATATATACAGATGCGTATGGACATACAGCAACAAATTATGTAAATGAGAGGCCATGAATTTGAAAGTGAGCAAGGCAGGGTATATGGGAGGATCTGGAGGGAAGAAAAGAAAGGGGGAAATAGGTCATTATTTTACAATCTCAAAAGAAATAATAAAAGCCATAGTGCCCAGCATATGGAGGCAAGACAGAGGCCTGAGAAGAAGACACTCAAGGTGAATAGTACAATTCACACAAATATTGGCTTAGGGAACTCAAGTAACAGACCCTCCTGAAATCACCTCCCGATAAAATGGTCTTGTGTTTTAAATTAATTCCAAGTGTGGCACTTACTCTGTTCCAGCCTCTCTGGAACTTCTAGAAGATCCATGTTGTATCATTAAGAGAAAAACAGTCAGGCTTCGTCTGAAATGGTCCTTACCCTGGAATTCTAGTTGTTCTATAGTTAAAAAAGATAAAAGTAGTGTATTCTGCTCACCTCGTCATTCTTGATTTAAAATAAACAGTTTGGAGATTGTTAATCAGAGTTTCCAGGATTCTGGAAGCTTATCTGTGTTGATAAGTTGAGTGTGTGCTTTTGAGTTGAGTTGGCACTCCTGAAATAGTAAAGGAAGTTAGCCACAAATCAAGGGAGGTGGCGTTTGGTCGCACCAGTCATCCGTTCTGAGTTTGGGTTGACACACTTGCTAGCCTACTCTTTTGTGTGCTTTCAGGGGTCCCCGTGGAGGCGCTCAAAGACTCTCTGGGTGAGGAGCTGTTCAAGATCTGTTATGAGGAAGACGAGCACACGCTGGGCGTGGTTGGCGGCACACTGAAGGACTTCCTGAACAGCTTCAGCACACTCCTGAAGCAGAGCAGCCACTGCCAAGAGGCGGAGAAGAGGGGACGACTGGAAGATGCCTCCATCTTATGCCTGGACAAGGACCATGACTTCCTAAACGTTTACTACTTCTTCCCCAAGAGAATCACAGCCCTGCTTCTCCCTGGTATCATTAAAGCAGCTGCTCGCATCTTATACGAAAGCCTCGTAGAGGTGTCGCTGATGCCTCCCTGCTTCCGAAGTGACTGCGCCGAATTTGTGAACCAGCCCTATTTGCTCTACTCAGTCCAAGTGAAGAGCACCAAGCCTTCGCTCTCCCCAGGCAAGCCCCAGTCCTCGCTGGTGATCCCTGTTTCGCTCTTCTGCAAGACCTTCCCGTTCCACTTCATGCTGGACCGAGACCTGGCCATCCTGCAGCTGGGCAATGGCATCAGAAGGCTGGTGAACAAGAGGGACTTCCAAGGGAAGCCCAACTTTGAAGAGTTCTTTGAAATTCTTACTCCCAAAATCAACCAGACATTTAGCGGCATCATGACGATGTTGAATATGCAGTTTGTCATCCGAGTGAGAAGATGGGATAACTCTGTGAAGAAATCATCAAGGGTAAGGAAAAGACAATATTTTTGTCAAACATGAAGCCAGTTGTTTAATATTTAAGGGAAACAACTCACAGAACAAATGAGCACATGCCATTTTGGTAATACATCTGTCTAAAATTCTAAAACAATTTTAGGAAGTCAATTTCTTCTATGTTCATTTTCTTGTCTACTTCATTCATTACAAACATTTTTTTTTGACGTTGGTTTGCCTCTTTAAATCCCAATGACGGTGTGGGTGTGTACCTCTCATGTGCAGAAGGCCTGCCTGATCTCCAAAAAGGCCTGGTTCACAACACATTTCTTATCCCATCATTCAGAAGGTAGAGGCAGGGGAATCAGAGGCTCCTAGTCATCTTGATTATATATCTAATTCAAGGCCAGCTCAAAATAAATGACATCCTATCTCAAAACAAGATTTTGGGCAAGATACCTCAGTAGGGAAAGGTGGTTGCTGCCCAGCCTGAGTATGAGATCTGGAACTACAGGGAAGAAGGAAAACAACTCCTACAAGTTGTCGCTAGACCTCCACATGTGTTGTGGCCTGTTTATGCCCTCACTCTCACACACACACACACACACACAGAGAGAGAGAGAGAGAGAGAGAGAGAGAGAGAGAGAGAGAGAGAAATGTAAAGTCATTTAAAGATAAGTCAACAAATATAAAATCATAATGAAGAACTTTACAACCAAGGTAGAAGTGTTCATATGAAAATTTGGTTTTGATTATTATCAAATAGCTTAACTGTAAGAGCAAAGCTGTGGGAAACAAGTAAGTGGATTTCAATCAATATACAAATACACGCATAAATCAATAGCTTGATGGATCGCTATCGAATGTGTGTGGAAGGGAGGCCGTGCTCTCATGGTAAAGAACATTGGCAATCATTTAATCTCAGGAACAGATGCCTGCTAACTGTCTGGGGAAACCATATACATAGATAAGGAGTAACCTCAGAAACATAGCCCCCTCCCCCAGACACACTGACTGTCCCTCAAAATGAAAACAGCTGTACAGCTTTTTTCTTTTTTTTTGCCAAAACCACATTTTGCTATGTTATAATGATGTTAATGTTGTTCACTACACCAAAATACAAGTGAAGTGATGTATGCTTACTTGCTTATAACAGCAACAACAAATCCCTGCAAGTACTTGCATCACTGAAGGACAGAATTTGGTCTTCCATCGCTGTTGTTGGACAGTGGTCTATCTCTCTGTTTTGGAATTGTAGATTATTATATAGCATTGCTATATTTGATTTTATTTGTTCAGTCTCTCCTTGACGGACTCTGATACAGTGCAAACACACATGTGTGTACTTGTCTGTATGTGTACAAGTGAATTGTGTGATCCAGGGCACACTCATTTGAAGTCCCACTGCTTGTGAGACCCTCTGGGTACACTGGGACTAGAGGTTGGGCGGTACTTTTTCTTATGTTTTAGAGAATAGCCTTTGTTAAGATCTGAAGGCAAAACTGAAACCCAGACATGGCTTCTCTTGTGAGACCTAGCTATCTTAGACTGCAATCACTGGAGAAATAATCACACCCGAAAGATGTTTTCTCTTGCCATCTCCAGACAGAAAAGAAAGAAATGTTCAGATACATATTTGGAGACATTTTAGTCTCAATGCCTGCCAGATGGAACAAGAAACTCATGGCAGAAGAGAAGCTTGCTAAAATAGAAGACCAAGAAGAGAAAAAAAAAAAAGAAAAAAAAAAGGAAGAAACCATAGTGAGGAAAAGAATGAGGAGGAAGGGAAAGGTGAATGGGAACGAGGTTTCATAGGTACTACATTATGTGAGATCTCTAAATCCAGATTAAATGCATACAAAGATCATAAGAATCCAGTAGCAGAGCACTGGAAGTGATTAGGAAGCTTACTATTCTTCTATAACAAATTGGAAACAAAACAGATTACACTGGTATCCACCCCCTCCCTTGTTTCAGAACGGTGTGGGGACCCTGACTAACACACTGTGATGGGTGCTCCTTTGCTTTGCAGGTTATGGATCTCAAAGGGCAAATGATCTACATTGTGGAATCCAGTGCCATCTTGTTCTTGGGATCACCCTGTGTGGACAGATTGGAAGATTTCACAGGACGAGGGCTCTATCTGTCTGACATCCCAATTCACAACGCCCTGAGGGATGTTGTCCTGATAGGGGAGCAGGCACGGGCTCAAGATGGCCTCAAGAAGAGACTGGGGAAGCTGAAAGCCACCCTGGAGCATGCCCACCAGGCCCTGGAGGAGGAGAAGAAGAAGACAGTGGACCTTCTGTGCTCCATCTTCCCCTGTGAGGTGGCTCAGCAGCTGTGGCAAGGACAAATTGTACAAGCCAAGAAGTTCAGTAACGTCACCATGCTTTTCTCCGACATTGTGGGGTTCACGGCCATCTGCTCTCAGTGTTCACCCCTGCAGGTCATCACCATGCTGAACGCACTCTACACGCGTTTTGACCAGCAGTGTGGAGAGCTGGATGTCTACAAGGTAGGGGAGGTGGGACAGGGATGGTCGGGCAGGCAGATGTCACCTTGGGAAAGCGCCTGAGTGAACCGCAATGCTGATGAGTAGCTCTCTGCATTTGGGTCACACAGGCTATATCTGGGGATCAGGTATTGTGCGTTAATTAGGTGGGTGTTCTCCAGCCAGAAATAGCTCAATAAGAACCAATTGTTCCCGGAGATGAGCAACACAGTGGAGAGAGGTTAGGCTGAATGGATGATTCCCGCGGTGGGAAGCGAGGCATTAGCCATCCATGGACCAGCCACTTAGCTGTGGAAACTGAGTTAAACAAGAGCTAATTAAAGGTATGACTCAGACAGGGGAGCTTTATCCTTTGTATCTTTAAAAAGAAAGAAACAAAAGGCTTATACGAACTGTCCTAAAATAGATTAATGCAATGCACGGTCTACTTGACACGTTTCATAGGCTGTAGCAGCAAACGAAAATCAGCTACTTCAGACGTTGAATGTGTCTTCGTCAGAGGCAGATATCCTCAAATTAAAGAGCTCTGCCTTTGAATCCCATCCTCTCCTTTGCTTTGTGAACAGAGCAAGTGATTTTCCAATTGTAAAACAGCAAACACAATAGCTCTTCCCAGCACCTACACCCTTGAATAATGTTCCGTATTCCATAACCTTTGTGAACAGGACCATCATGAAGATTTTGTAGATGCTCAGGATCCAGGATTCCTGAAAAGATGTTAGTGACCTCTTAGGTACCTCTCTAGGTATGGTGATCCAACAACACTATTATGTCCTGGAGCCAAATACATCATTTTCTTGAAATGAAGTATTATGAAAGGGGAGAGAAATGAAATTTCAGGCTCTGCCTGTTTTGTTTGATGAAAAGGTTTTCTTGTTCAAACCCTTTTGGCTCATTTTGGACAGTGGCAGTAAGAACAAAACATTCATTTGTGTCTGACTCAAGTCATCTGTTTAGCTTGTCCCAGCGGTTGGTGCAGAACAGAGTTCAGCACAACACAAAAGAAATAAACTACTGGGAAGAAGCAAATATTGCCTATGAGAATGCATAGACCCAGCCTGTTTCTGAGGCCAGGCTAGCAACATCTTGTGACATTCCTTACAGGAAATCTCTGAGGGAGTTGTGATTTTTCTCAGGGGAGGGGAGGGAAGGGAAGAGGACCTTGTATAATTACAGATAAAATAATTGGCACTGATTCAGTTATGCCTGATGGCCTCTTGTGGAATTCGCTGTTGATTTCTAGTTATGTTCTCCACGGAGAGCAGCTCCTTTCTCAGAACCAAAGAAACCAATCTTTTTCCAGCAAATAGGCAGCTCTAGTGCCTCAGAAGGACTTGCCACCCCGTGCTTTTAGTGACAACCACTCCATCAAGGATTCCTGGCTATATCCCCTCCAAGAAGAAGGGTGTCCATAGAGTTCCTTGACTAACGGGCTTCAATGGAAGCAGATAGCGCACAACTGATCACAACTCCCCAGCCCTCATTTCCACCTTTTCCTCATTTCTGATTCTGCATAGAAAGAGATGAAAATAGCTTTAGAAGGGTCTATTGTTAAAACACTTTTATGAATTCCTTAAGAGTTTCATACATTATATTTTGATCATATTCATTTCCCTCCCTGAACCCCTGCTTCCTCTCTACCCACCCAATGTCACATTCTCTGTCTCTTAGTCTCTTTGTGGGTACCAAGTCCAGTTTGTGTTGGCTAACTGCTTCTGGGAATAGGGCCTGCCATGAAGTGTACTTAATAGATTAGGTATCAAATCACTATAGAAAACTGACATTTCCCTTTCAAGCAGCAATCAAATGCCAAAACTTCCTGCTTAGCTGGAGCTGAAAGTTCATTGCTACCCCACTTCTTCCATGCTGGGCTTTTGTCTGGGTAGCGTTTTCATAGGACATTTGCATGCTGTTGTAATTGCTGAAATTTCTTATGTGTAAGTACTCTGTTGTGTGTGTAGTACACTGTTTCCTTGAAGTCATCTTCTGCCTCTATTCTAACAATATTTCTGTCCCCTCTTCCAAGTAGATCCCAAACCTTGAGGGGAGTGGTGTCATATAGGCATCCCATTTAGGGCTGAGCATTCCAAAATTCTTATTTTCTACACATTGACCAGTTGTGGGCCTCAATGTTGTTTATCATCTATTGCAAGAAAGTTTTCTGGTGAGAATTGAGACATGTACTGATTTGTGGGCATAGAAATATATCACTAAAAATAATTTTGAGGCTACATCCATTTAACAGAGTAGTAATAGTAGGTTTTCACCTATAGGCATGACCTCTCTAACCACATATTTTTGGTCTCCTTGACATTATCAACTAAAGGTTCCATCTTGTAGAATGAGCACTGGATCCAATTTCTTAATGTGGTTGGTTACAGCCTTAACATTCGTGCCATCAGTGGTATATCTTGCCAGGCATGTCATTAATGTAACTGACGGTATTTACAGTTGGGTAAGATTATTACTTTGCTTATCAAATTGCCTTTGACAACCCTTTAGCACTAGCACCAGCATCATAAAAGTAAGCCATTAGGGTTGAAGTTTCCAGTTGAGTATCAGTTAAATGTCTCCATGTTCTATGCTCCAAATATGTAATGTCTTCAGCTATGGCCCATTAGCCCTAGCTTCTTTTTTTTTCTTTTTCTTTCTTCTCTTTTTTTGGTTTTGTGAGACAAGGTTTCTCTGTAGCTTTGGAGCCTGTCCTGGAACTAGCTCTTGTAGACCAGGCTGGCCTCAAACTCACAAAGATCCGCCTGCCTCTGCCTCCTGAGTGCTGGGATTAAAGGTGTGCGTCATAATAGGCAATGTTACAAGGATACGAATGATAAGTAAACAGGTATCTACTACTTGTCCTAGGTAAATGAAGAGTGAGTGAGACTGTGCTTGGTGTGGTTGAGTGATAATGGAACTTCAGTGACCTGAGAAAGAGGTGCAGTAAACGGTAGAGTCATACCTTGGCAAAGACAAGCTCAAAGCAACTCTGGAGGCATTCCAAATACTGCAGCTTGCACAAGGATAGTGGAAATGAATTAAAGTAGCTCATAATGTGTGTCCCTCCTTCCCTTTGTTCTCTTCTTGCTTACATAATTCATAATGGACTCTGTAGATGAGAATAGCATGATGTAAGGACAGGACAAGTTTGACCGCTGTGAGTAGAAGAACTATATGTGTATTTAAATTGATAAATTAATACTTAGCTCTCGGTAGCCACTCAGAGACAGATAGAGAAAGTCGTGGAAACAACAAGGAGAAGGATACTAAGCCTAGTTCAATTTTAAACAACAACTTGTTTTCCAATAGCTTTTTGAGCATCATTATTTTTATTTCTCATCTTGACAATTTGGTTTCTACCCATTCTTTGTGATTAATATATTTGAGTATTATTAATAATTTCCAAAATTCTCAGAAATATTTTAGAGAAGGTCCATATCTTTTGCTGTTATGACTCCTCGTATCTCAGTTTTACATCATACTTTTTTGTTGCATTCATATAACATTGTTGAGGGAGGGTGAGTTCAGGTGAAATGTAGTTTTATGATGGGCAATTGATCCCACTATCAGAATTCTCTAGAAATTCAAACTATGGGCTGAAGAAATGCCTCAGCCATTAAGAGATCTTGCTGATCCTCCAGGAGACATGAGTTTAGTTCTGAGCACTCACACAGCGAGTCTCACAACTGCCTGTAACTCCAGCTCCAGGGAATCCAATGCCCTCTTCTGGCGTCTGTGGGTACTCATACACAACAGTTTCCAAACACACATATACATAATAAATATAAGATAATGAATAAAAGTGAAATCGAAAAACAAATCTAAACAACAAATACATGTTTGTACAAAAGCTATTGTATATAGTTTTTGCTGCTGCTTGTTTGCTTTTCAGGGAAGAACACGTGTGGTTAGTAGTAGACTACAATAGAGACCGTTTGATTGGGTCTTCCCAGACTGTGCAGTCTTTCAGTTCACTTCCCTGAGCTCAACAATCGGCATCTTGTCCGTTTTATGAAATGAAAAGTTACCCTTACCATTGTCGCGGCTTCTCCACAGGGCCAGAACACTCCAGTTTCTGCCGTGTGGCTCTGTTGGGCCGGCTCCTTCCCAGCTGTTATTTAAAGGACAAACTATGTTCTCTCCAGGTGGAGACCATTGGGGATGCATACTGTGTGGCCGGGGGACTGCACAGGGAGAGCGACACCCATGCCGTCCAGATAGCCCTGATGGCACTGAAGATGATGGAGCTCTCCAACGAGGTCATGTCTCCCCACGGAGAACCCATCAAGGTAAGACAACGGCAAATGGCAGATTAGTTGGTTGCCAAAAACCTGGTACATTGGCCAGGGTTCAGTTTTAAAGAGGAAGGTCTTACCTAGTTTGTTTAGATGTGTGTGTTTGTGTGTGTGTGTGTGTGTGTGTGTGTGTGTGTGTGTGTGTGTATTGGGGCATCACCATAGGCTGTTACACGGCCTTACAAGAAAATTGAGATAAGTGAAGATGCTTTGCAAGTTGTTTTATCAAAAACATTTCCTAGAGATCTACAGCAGAGCAGTGCTTTCCTGCAGTTTGGAATCATATGCCAGACCTCCATCGCTGCAGCTTTGGCATAAAACCATGCTGAGCAGAAAGCTGCATCTTATTCTGGTGGTCGAAGGACAGTCTGACACCTGCTGGGAATTGAACCAGCAAGGTGGAAATTCTTGCATCACTACTGTTGCAAGATATGAGCCTGGCAAATGTGCTCTCTATTAAGCATGCTATAGACAGTCCCAAAGCTCCCATGACTGTACTCATGGTTGGAAACACAAGGGACACAGTCCCCATGGGAAGCTGACCTTCCCAAGCCCAATGCGTGTGTGCAGCATTCAGTCAGCTTTATGCAGCTAGTACGTGCCAGGCAGTTTAGAAAATGAAGTATCTGTTTTTCAGCAATAACAGCGGATATATCCCCTTAGGAAATTGACTGTGGAATGACTATTCTAAGTCTATAGAGGACTATTGAGAGGTGCAGATTGGATATGGTTAATTTCCCTGTCTGTTATGTTTTTATTTGCAAGTTTTTTATAATAAAGTTTTAATAAAAATATAAAGCTGAAAGAATATTGACTACAAAACCAACAGGATTCTCTAGGCATGAACACTGTTAGACTTCGAAATGAGACATAAACAGAATAATGTACTATTGTGGGCCGGGCAGTCATGGCACACGCCTTTAATCTCAGCACTTGGGAGGCAGAAGCAGGCAGATCTCTGTGAGTTCAAGGCCAGCCTGGTCTACAGAGTCAGTTCCAGGATATATCAAGGGTTATTAAAAGAAACTCTGTCTTGAAAAAAACAAACAAACAAACTAACTAAATAAATAAGAATACTGTACTACTGCAAAAAAAGAAAATAAAAGCAAAATACCAATGGTTGGCTTAATAGATAAAACCCGAGTGGATTATAGGCGCTGTCTTATAGTAAATTGACCACTTAATGTTAACACTCTTTACTTAATGACTTTTCAGCTATGAGCTCTAAAAATAATACAGAATTCTATCCTCCCAATTTTCAGTATCCAATTTCAAGGAATAAGCGAAACATAAAAATAAAGCTATGGTGAAGGCAAGTTTAGTTCTGGCCTTCTGTAACCTTAAGAGAAGCCGTGTGTCTAAGCCTTCACGAGCTTCTCAAATTCGTCGGTCAGCTCATTCATAGATTGTTGTTGCCTACGTCCCGACATTCACTAGTGTGAATCCGCAGCCGTTTGTTGTACATTGATTCTGTACATCATGAGCCTGAAGAACTTACAAGAAGGCTGCCAAGTTTTCGGTGTAAAATATCTGGGACTCTCGCTAAGAATAACCAAGTAGATTGGAGTCTGTTGAAGAGTTAGGCTTGTAGTGCATGAACAGAAGGATCCATTCCAAAATAGCAGCTTTACGCACCTGCTGGGTAGGATGGTAGGAAGGCTGGTATCAGCTACAACTGTCTACGCACGCACTACATGTTCCAGCATGGTGAGTTAAGAGTACTTGAACGTTTCCCATGGTGGCTGACATCCCAGCGAATGACAGACAGATGTTGCATGGCCTTCCATGACTTAACCTTACACACAATAGGCATTTCCGCCTCTGCTGTCATTCGCAGCAGTCACCTGTCTGCTCAGGGGAAGGAGCACAGCTTCCAACTCTGCAGAAGATGGGTACAAAATCCCTTACAGCTGTGCTTCAATAGCTTCCCGGCGTCTCACATGAGCAGATTTAGTTTCTATCCTTGAATTTTTAGAGAAGAAACACATGGTTATTTTTTCATATTTTGGTAAAAGAGTTCATAACATCACAATAAATATTAAAAACTATCTAGACTGTGAGCAATAAGGTCAAGATTGCCACTTAAATTATTTTATATGTCAGATCCCTATCAGAAGATTAATGGCAGGATTTTTGTTAGCCGCCTCAATGTAGTCTTTCTTATTTTTGCAGCTAGGAGAATTATTTATAGTTAACCTTAAAGATAATTACCTGGGTAATAACAGGTTAGCCTTAGTGACCTGTGAAACGGATATTAATTAGGCCTTTTATTGCCTATTCATCTGTAGACCTGTGAAATACCTGATGATTTAGAGACTCACAGTGAACAACTCAGGGTTGAGGGGGGAATGCTCTTAGCAGACAGGGAAACGTGAGTGTGTATGGAGGGCTACACACTGTGATTTAGACATTGTCTCATTTAATTTGGGGGACAACATTTGAAGGCTGGCCAAGTTCCTTGGGAGTCAGGATTTGAAGTCTTGGATTGGCCTGGTTTCCTTACGGAAAAGCAAAAGCTATTTCCCTGGTGTTTCTTTGTTCGGTTGTTTAATGTGTTTGTTTGCTTGTTTTCCTAACTCTGAGCTGTCCCCTAGCATAGTCACATGCGTGTATCATGAAGTCCCTCCCTACTACTGTCCTCATTCATCCTCATCCCCTCAGACTGGAAAACTCTGAGCAGGCTATGGGTAGAGAGCTGAGAATTGGATTCACAGTGAAAGTCATTAAGAGGCAGGAAAGAGGAAAATTCGAATCAGGTACTTTCCTTGCTTAGCCGCCTAGGAGATTAAATAGGCAACATCAAAACAATCCTCCAACCAAGGGCTTCCCTATTATAAGGTTCCCTTTGAGAGTTACTGAGAGATGCAATTCCTTTTGCCTTTCATTATTTTGCTGTCTTTTCCCAGGGGAAAGAAGTTCATTCAAACATGCTGATCATCTTATGGGTGACCTTTTGTTCTTAAATTTGGGGTAAACGTGAGCTTGAGAGCTGGAGAAGGGGAGACAGGGAGAGCTGGGTGGGAGGAACGTGTGGGGATTTGGCTTTGTCTGTGAGGGGAATACACTCACATTACCTATGAAATAAAAAATAAAACGTTATGGTAAACTTATTTAAAAAATCTGAAAATCAATATACACAGAGAAACTGCAGCAAAAGAGTTTGCCCAAGAGAACACAACCTTCTTAGCATGGTTGTGCTAAGTTTGCATTTATGCAACTTAATATTGTACAGTTGTTACTGTGTAAATCCATGTTCTACTAAGGATGGTTGATTCTCCTAGGTACAGGAGACAGCTAAGTTTTGCTTCTTAGTGTAGGCTTCTGGCTTTAGGAATCCCCACCCCTGTTTATAAAGGAAGGAATAAGCAGAGGGAGGCACAGGAAGCAGATCTTCAGAAGCCTCCTCTCCTGATGCTCTGCTCTGAGAACAATGGAGAATTTTGGGGCAGGACATCTTGAGCGATTCTAGTAAGGTTGCTAGCAAATGCCCAAAGTTAGTTGTAAAACTAAGAAATGCCTGAACTGGAAAGACGGCTCAGCGATAATCAAAGACAACGTGCAGCCTTGGTGAGTTCTCTCCTCAACAGTCAAAGGTAGGAGAGACCCCCCTCCCCTGCCACGGAGCTGGCCTCGGACCTCCACGGTTTGCTGTGCTACGTTCCATCCCCATCTCTTTTTATTTTTGAGGCAGGATTTCTTCATGCATCCCTGGTTGTCCTGGCACTCACTATGTAGATCAGACTGGTCTCAAAACCACAACAATAAAAACCTGTCTCTGCCTCTGCCTCTGCCTCTGCCCCTGCCCCTGCCCCTGCCCCTGCCCCTGCCCTTGCCCTTGCCCCTGCCCCTGCCCCTGCCCCTGCCTCTGCCTCTGCGGTGTTAGAATTCAAGGCATGAGCCACCACACCTGAATAATAAATGCATTTTTAGAAATTAAAAACATGCCGAGTCTTTTAATTGCAAGCAAGCCCTCAGATAACCGGGTCTTCGGCCTTTATTTAAAGGACTTATAACTAATAAAACTTTTCAGAAGAACAGCAGGATATAGAAGCTGAAAACAACAAGCATACCATCATATCCTTACTGTCTGTTAACACACTTGCTGTGGCCTGGCCGTCGATTAAGAATGTGTGAATTCTTTCACTTCCTCAAAGGCCTGGATCTCTAAGAGAAGCCCGTTTAAAAGCATTTCAACCCAGTTCCAACACTTGGGGGTGGAAACAGGAGAATCAGACATTCAAGGTTCTGCTCGGCTATATAGCCAGTTCCAGGACAGCTCAGACTGTATCTTCTATTTAGATATCGCCTAAGTTTCATGTTGTATGAGTCTGGATTTTAGGTTCCTGAGTCTAGACAGTATAGAATGCAGTGACAGGGATCTGGGTCCCGGACACTACAGTTTCCTCCGTCCTCTGTCATTTCCACTTCAGTGTTACAATTCTTTCCCTCAGTTGCTAGTCACTTAAACAAAGGACTTGTGTTTGGCATACAATTACTGTAAAGCAAAATGTTTTGTTTTAGATCCCACAAGCTGACCTCAAGCTCCAGAGTTCAGTAGAACATCCTGCTTTAGCCTTCTGAGTATCTGGAACTACAGGTGGTCCTTCTCTGGCCTTGCTTCAAGAATTTCCTGCTAGACTCTAGAAAGGGCGTCTTTCTCTCCTTTAAGGGACAGAGCAGCTTTGTGTGAGCAACCCAGGGGCTCTTGGTTATCCTGCCACAGTGATCCTGAGAGTCCTGAGAACACGTTTATTCCAGATACCAAGGACAGGTGACATAAAACCAAACACCCTATGGAGCAGTTACCTGGTGTGACCACTGACTCTGCCCTGGTGATGTAGCTTTCTATGGCCATTAGAGGGTGACTCACTGGAAGAGAGGAATGTGATGGAGTTAGTTGAAGCACGGTTAATAAAACTTCAGAGACAGATATTGGGGTTCAACCTGAAGAGCAGAAAGGCAAGTCAACCAGTCGCTGGCTCTTATCTCGACCTCAGTTCGAAATGTCAATCCTGCCTCCAGGAAACGTCAGAATGAAACTGAGCCTGAGAGCTGTCTCCTGGTTTATAATCCTCTCTAATTCTGGGATTAAGGGTGTGCACCACTACCGCCTGGTTTCTATGCAAGCTAGTGCGGCTACTGGGATTAAAGGTGTGTGTCACCAATGTCTGGTCTGTAAAACCGGCCAGTGTGGCTGTTTTACTTTTCTGATTCTCAGGCAATTGTTTATTAGAATACAACAAGATGCCACTATAGTTAGTTACACTGGTTAGAAGCATCTAGATAAGACATCCAAACAATACTGACAAGTGGGCAGTGACTTTCCAGAGACCAGGCACACTGTTATTTTGCTTTCAGATGCGAATTGGGCTGCATTCCGGGTCAGTTTTCGCTGGAGTTGTCGGCGTCAAAATGCCCCGCTACTGCCTGTTTGGAAACAACGTCACTCTGGCTAACAAGTTTGAGTCCTGCAGTGTGCCGCGGAAAATCAATGTCAGCCCCACAACATACAGGTACCGATCGCGTTAAGAACCTAAAATGCACGGTTTTCCCTTTGATGAGGTCTTTTGTATCTGTTCTCCCTCCTGTTTATTTGCATTGGAAATGTTACAGGAAAATGAAATGAAATAACTTTTAGAATTCTTTAACTTCCTTTAAGGCATTTGCTACCCTTCGGAAACAATTATAGCATTAATTCTTAACAGATATTGCATCTTCTTCCATATTTATTTTTATTGAAAGTGTGTGTTAACCTTCTCAGTATATCAGTGGGTATTCTGACACCAGCTGGTATCTTGGTGGACAGTTCTGGCAGTAGTTACCTCGAGTTAACATGATGACAACATTTTATAGGGGTCAGTGCTCAACAAAACTGATTAAGATCAGACTCGGACCAGACTCCAAGAGTGCTTGGGCTATAGCACTTTTGACCAACTACGAATATGAGGGCTGCCCTGAGCCCTCCAAGATAGTCGTTAGAATAACATCAGATTCAGGTAGGTGATGCCTGAGCAACCCAGGACGCCTTAATTGTAAAGAATACAACTCACAATCAGGCAAACGAAGAAGGTGAAGCCTGGCTGGGCTCCAAATGCTGGGTTCCTGTGCAATCTGGACGTATTACTGGCCCTTGCCACAACAGTGGAGCCATAACCAGGAGGCTCTGCTCTTCTAACGGTTGGTGCCTGCATCCCCTGCTCTGAGAGAGGATAGACTTCCCCACACGCTTGGTTAATAACACACAGTTTCCAGTCCCCAGCCTCAGCCCTCTTCTAACCTGGAAAATACTTCTGGAACACTGGCCCCACTCTGGGTCATCTCATTAACATAAACCAGGTGGGACCCAAAGGGTTCAAAAAAACAAAACAAAACAAAAAAATCCCCCAGCAACAACAACAACAAACCAACAGCAACTTTGTCATTCAGGAAATTTCCAAGCGTTTGAGGGTCACTCCCGATAACTAAGGGCAAAAATTAAATCCCCTGCTTCAGAACCACAGGGGGGTTCAGCAGAGGAAAACCATCAGGTCATTAAACAATTTCAGTCAGTATTGAACTGAGTATTGGTCCTGAGTATTGAGGACCAGCAGCAAATGGTGACATTGTAACACAGGAGTCAAGTGTCTTGCGGCATCAAGAGGAGCTGGCAGTGTGAATTGTGGTGCAGGCCTGGAATTCAGGTTACTCTGAAGGCTGAATTGGCATGAGATCAAGTTCAGGGAGAGTTTGAACTGCAGTGAGTTCAAAGCGAGCCTGGAAAATTTATGAGACTCTGTCACAAAACAAAAACTTTAAGGAGAGGTCTGGAAAGATGGCTCAGCAGTTAAGAGCCGTTGCTGGCCTTCCAGAGGACTCAGGTTCAGTACCCAGAATCCTCACCGTTGGTAACTCCAGTTCCAGATGATTTAGAAACCTTCTTCTGGCTTCAAGGTCAACCAGACACATATAAGAAGCAGACAATACTTCCATACACATAAAATATGAATAAGTAAATCGTGTTTTCTTTTCAATTGAATTTGTATCGTTATGAGTGAATGAATGAATGGCCAATTGTTGTGGAGGGTACTTGTTGGTTCACAGCTGCTCAGCCCTGAAATAATCACACAGAAACTGTATTAATTAAATCACTGTTTGACCCATTAGCTCTAGATTCTTATTGACTAACTCTTACATCTTAATTTAACCCACCTCATTTAATCTGTGCATCACCACAAGGTCGTGGCCTACCAGCAAGGTTTCAGTGTGTCTGTCCGGCAGCAGCTCCATGGCTTCTCCTCAAACTCTGTCTTTCTTCTTCCAGCATTCAGTTTAGTTTTCCTCACCTAGCTCTGTTCTACCCTATCAGGCAAAGCCAGTTTCTTTATTAACCAATGGTATTCACAGCATACAGAGGAGAATCCCACATCAGACAATCATTTATCATTTTTAACTTAGGAGAAACCCTTTTCAGTGACATTGAAATGACATATGCTTGTTATTATTAAAACTTAAAGTTTATGTGTATGAATTTCATTGTTATAAAAATCGCATTGTCCCCAATATTGCATAATTAATTTTTCTTTTAAAATGAGCCAAATGTATGATTTAGATTCTTTGTAGCATTTGTGTGTGTGTGTGTGTGTGTCTGTGGACTATCTATTGACTTATGGGAATTCTTTTATCAGTTATCCCTAATATGACTACTGTAGTAATACCCAAATATTTCTGTTGTCTTCTTGTCCTGAACTGCCAAATGTTTCTGTCAGCATTAAGTTTTTTTAATTATTATTTTATTCTATTTTATTTTCAGGTTACTCAAAGACTGTCCTGGTTTTGTGTTTACCCCGAGATCAAGGGAGGAGCTTCCACCAAACTTCCCTAGTGACATTCCTGGAATCTGTTATTTTCTGGATGCTTATCAGCAGCAAGGACCTAATTCTAAGCCATGGTTCCAGCAGAACGATGTGGAAGATGGAAACGCCAACTTCTTAGGCAAAGCGTCCGGAGTAGATTAGGGAGCCACGTGCTTATGGATTTGACTCCTTTGGGGACTTGCAGAATCTCTGAAATGACTTTAGGATTATGAAGATGAAAAGTAGTGTTAAAATTTCAGGAATGAAGTCCTTGTCTCCTTTGCCTCCCACTTAACATAACAAAAAAAGTATACACTTCAGCATTTCTATCCTCTTCTATTTAAGAAACAAACAAACCTCAAAGGTGACTTTTGAGGACATAGTCTTGTGCTAGAACAATCACTACCTGCACTCCAAATCCAGCACATTGTACATATCCCAGGCAATTATAGACAGGTTCAACTGCATAAAGTCATGGATTCACCTACCGCTGTGCCCAGTGCAACGCCGTGGTTATTAAATTGTATTTGTGATAGTGTCGCCTTTAAAATACAAAAGTGACAGTGTTTAGTTCTGTAGGAGCTTCTGGCCTCTTCAAAGCTGCACCCGATTCAGTTTCCTCTTAAGCACAGATTCTGTAGCAAGCAGACCTGCACCTTCTTTTCAGCTACTTCTTTGTGTGTGTGTATTTCTTTTCTTTTCTTGCCCCCCCTTTTTTCTTTTTCTTTTTCATTAGAAAATAAGCAATTAGACATTCGATCAAATGTGGTATAAAATAGTTCTGCATTTATCAAAGAATATCTTCATGTTTAACATTAGAAACATTCTCCATAGCACAATATATCATACAACAAATGCTTTTTGTTTTGACTCTATATGTGGCAAAGCCTAGTTTATTTAACAATGAAAATTTACTTCCTATTAATCCATGTAAAACATACTAATAACAAAATTTTCATAATAAAAGGCTTACAGGCTGACTTAAAATGTAACAATCTAATATAATTAAGGCATTGCGACATGGATTAGAGCTTGCATACAGAGAGCCTGCCGAAGAACGCAGTGGTAACGTGTTCTCACACATACATGACCAAACGATCCGCAGCTGCCATGTTGAGCCATGAAATCCAAGGAGGAAAGTTTTAGCTCAGAAGTAGAAAACGAGACTTACTTTTATCCTTTTTGATAGCTTCTTAAGTATTTCTGCTGACCATTTTAGTGTCTGTGTAAGAATTAAGTTTTGTATTATTTGGTGTACATCTGTGAAGCTTTTAATCTAGTTAAAAAATCTTGATAGTGTTTTCTAAAGAAACCACTAATACTAATGGAGAAAACCTTACTGCGGTTCCTTTGTGGAAATCTCTAAACATTTTTCTGGAATCTGAACTAATTTCCTTCCCCTCCCATACCCTCCCCTCAATCCCCCTTCCTTCCATCCCCCTTGTGCATGTGTGTGTGATTCTGGGGATAGAGCAGATGGCTCGTGCATGCCAGACAAGGGCTCTGCTATTGAGTGACTCTGTCGTCATGGATCTTGGATTTTATTGCTGCTGATGTCACTTTATACTCTCTCCCAACTTAAGTCCCAGTGTTCAGTCTGGTAAAGGATACGACTTTAAAACAAGATCAACTTTAAGGCAAGAGAAAGATGCAAGTCGGGTTTTTGAATCAGTATTAGCAGAGCTATATACAGTCTGACTCTTTTTTTTTTTTTGCATGGATTTGAAAAGAAAATCCACTTAAAAGTCCTTTACTACCTCCACTAGTCTCCAGGCATCAAGTCTAGTAGTCACTATTTGCCAAGCCTCAGTTTCCCCGGGGTACAGCTAAAACACTCCAGTGGGTTTCTTCGAAGGCTGGTAGTGTCTCATTAAACATGCTCTTTCTCTTTCTGGAGCTGAAATTCGTTACAAGGAACGTAATAGGAATTCTACCGGCAATTAGAAGCACCAGACAGGGCATCATTCTCATCACCTGTGTATACAACAAGTTGCTGTGCCAGTAATAATCTGATTCAGATGCTTGCACATTAATTAGAATTCCAACCGGTCTTTTAGGGACAGAGATACAGCTCAATGGCAGAGCCATCGCCTAGCATGTATGTGGTTCTGAGTTCCAAGCCAAGCGGTGGGAAGAAGCTGCATGTATCTTTCATGTGTATATGCTATATGATCACGTTCACCGCTGTCACCTGTGCCACCTGTGTACACCTGGAAAAAAAGGGAAGGACTGTGGATATCCAAGTAAAAGAAGCATGGACGCTCCATGTCCGCGTCTTGTAACTTTTCTATTATTTTGGCATTTTACTAAATAAAAATATTATCAAAAATTATTTTCCTGGAGAATCTCTCTGTTGTAGGTTCCCTAGACCTCCTTGTGAGGGCCCATTGACTATGGACAAAGCCAAGCCAAGCCATTGCCTTGTGCCTCTGCAACAGTATTAGAAGGGGCATGCTGGACCTGAAAGGATGTGGATGAGAGACGATGTGTTTTTCAAAAACTGTTTCAGGAAAGGCATAGATGACAATGAATATTTGTGTGCAAGGGTGGTGGCATGAACAGTCGCTTCTCTCTTAGGGGAAAACAGTTCTTGTCATCCTTGGGGGCTTTTGCCAGAAGAATGAACAGGATAACTGAATCAATAACGCACTTGCAAGTGTGCTGGCATCTGTTCAGTCCCCACACTGGAACCACGTGTTCGTGCCATAGCTGGTAAATGAAGCGGAGTAGACGGAAAAGGGACTCACTACCCATCTCAGGCCGGCCTTAAGTTGCTGACAGATCTCTCGCTAGCCCCCTTCTGGTAATGTCACCGCTTCCCAAGAGTGCCACGCTGGGGAGGAAACCTTCAACACACAGGCCTTTGGGGAACAGTAACACTTCTAAAGACCGCGACTCCCTACTTTTCAATGAATTGTGAAAATATTAGACTTCCATGACCTGCACCCTTTGAGGATAGTGTCCTTTGTGTGAGTTGGACAGCTACACGGAGAATCAAATAGTGACAGCATAGCATCATACATGGTGCCCCCGTGAGGGCTGCGAAGGCAGCCACTAGCATCTTCCCCCAAACAGAAACTACTCAGCTGAGATGAGGAGGGGAAGGGCGATTCAACTGTCAAAGTTGTAGCAAACAGCTAGGGCAGATGTGCTAGCTTGATTACACAGAAGATACCAAGTCATTTCCATCCAGGATATACAGGGTCACCACATAATGTAGAGCCATTGGCTGGAAGACTTCTCAGGACCTGGAAAGTCTCCATGCGTTTCGCGGAGATGGAAAAGACTCCCACTTGTAGAAGCCGTCTGTCCCTTGGAGTCTTTGTTGCATCCAGTTTCCTTCCTTAGAAAGTCAGCGTCTGGGTTTGTGATGGTGGTGTGCCCTCCAGATGTTTCTTTATGAGACTGATATGACTCATGGGGTATTTTCATCTGAGGCCACTTCCAATGCCATGCATGTTATTAATCTCTATTTCCTAGCCTCGTACGCATCTGTTGGGAGCAACCCACATGGCCCACACAATTTTCATCTAAAGCTTTAATTCCTTGTTCGTGTTCAGTTCTTCAAACTTGACATTTCTATAAGAAAAGAGAAAAGTCTTCATAAATGATGAATTTTTTTTTAAATTCAAAACTTAAGTAGAGGGAAAATGTGATAATCTCAAACCCACACTTCTTCCGTATCAGGGCAGATCTGTTGCAATCATAATTAAGTTACTTTCATGACATGTTACTGTGTTAGTCTAAAATATAGCAGTTAAAAATCAAGACAAAATTTAAATGGCAGATGTAAGGCTTAATCTAAGATATTCCATAAAAAGACTGTAGAGAGAAGTCTTTTCAAGCTACGAATATTTTTTTTAAAACACACAGTGCCAGAAAAAGAAACTGTAAGTGAATCTCGGAGTTTGAAGAAAATTGGTTAGCAAAGCAAGCTTGCATGGTGCCCAAGTCCTAAAAAGTCTGCTGAGATGTTTATTTACTCTGAAGCTCTGCCAAGCCCTTCTTTATGGTAGAAAGAATTATGAGGTAACTTCAGAATAAACTAAAACAAAACAAAGCAAAAAAACCAAGAAACTGGAAGAACAATGTGTTAGGCAATCCACATGGTGGAAGAAAAAAAAAAATGAAGCTCACTGGAAAGTTCTGGTGACAGTGGTTGTGGATCTGGCATCTTTACAAATATTGTAACAATTCCCAGGGACTAAGGCTCTGGGACCTCCAGGCAGTATTTATTCACAACAACAACCCACAATTCCCCAGTACACTGTACATTGTTACTAACTTTGAAAACTATCAGTCCTGAATCCTAGGGTCAATACAGAAATACACGCTTATGTTGGAGGTGCCCACTATGGGAAGGAAACCCGGCATGCCATTCACTTTTCCTGGTTCATTTGTGTTGCAAGTGTGCAGAATCTATTAGACTCCATTGGAGACCTCACAATGAGTCCACTCCTGTCTATATGTCTATCATTACTCAGTCACAATTACTTCATGAGACTCTCAGATGCTCCATGTCTTCCCTAGTCATCATTCTACCCCACCACACTCTTCTGGAATGCTCTGTACACAACATTTATTAACCTTTATTAACCTGCTCCTCTGAGTTCTTTCATTCACCAATACCAGTCTCTAAATTATCTCTCTAGGTTCAGGTAGACTTAAGGAAACTGCTCCAAGACTTGGTTCCCATCATCACCACAACCAAGGTGGACACCATGAAGAGAAAAAGTTAGCTGAGTTTAAAAGCTAAAGGTCAGAGGTCATGAGGTCAACTGTGCTGAGGCCTCATGGTGAACACAGAGTGTTTTGTAAAAAAAAAAGAGGACACACAAAAGTTAGGAAGACAAGATTGCTCTTTGTAAAATTTTATTTATTTCACATGTATCGGTGCTTTGTCTGCATGTATGTCTGTGCATCATATATGTACCTGATGCCCAGGAAAGGCAAAGGAGGGTATCAGATTCTGAGGGCCCAGAGTTACAAATGTTTGTGAGCAGCCATTATATGACATTCATAGAAATAGAACCCAGGTCATCCAGCAGAGTAGTCAGCGCTCCTATCTACTGAGCCAGCTCTCCAATCCCCAAGATTTCCCTTTTGAAGACAGCTCGTTCCAAGAATAAGCTACAGGTCTAGCAACAGTCCCATTTGTTTTCCCAAGACTGTGTCCCCAAGCCCTAAGGGTCCCCCACTGCACCCCAAGGATCTGCCACTACTCCCTCCCTACCTTTTAAGAGCAAGACCACCCCTCACATCACCACATTGAGACCCAAGTGTCTGAAGAATGAATCATTTTGAGGTAATCCAAAGTACACACCATCTATATCTATTGACCATTTCACTTGGTCAAGAGCATCTTTACCAGAGCAGCATGGTTTATTACCAACTACAGACTTAAACTTGTCTTAGTCAACAAGAGGAGAATCTAGGCTGATGACTGTTCATCAGCTATCTAACATCTCTCTTAAATCCTGGAGTTACAACAATTCCTTTCTGTTCACATTCTACATGCACAGACTAAGGGCAAAGGCCACCTTTATTGAGTGAGATGGGAAGAAATGAGAGTGATTAGAATGATCTATACAATCCACATCTTAAGCGTTTATTGAAGGCTTATCTGCCAGACATTATTCTACACTATACTGCCCATTATTTCAGTGGTTCCCATTATCATGAGATCTATGGGCTTTGTTCAGACAAGGTCCAGCTGCAGACAAGATAATATAGAAATGTCTACTTCTTACATAACTCAACACTTATAAAAAACATATATATATATACATACATATATACAATACAATATAAATATTTTTATAAATATATTTTATATCTTATGTGTATTACTGAGAGTAGGTGACAGTGAAAACAGCGCATTTATGGGGCAATGACTTCAAACCTACACAGAGAGAGACTGAAATTTTTCTTCTCAGATCAGGCAAACAACTTCTATGCTCCCTGGTTGGTGTCTCTCAGTTGATGCTCTTACTTCACACAGGCTGGAATCCATTAGCTCTGAGGAAAGAAGAAACACACTCAAGTGAAGAGCAAAGTGCATCCTCCGTATTATACACTTGAGTTGCTTACGGTGAGAGAGGAAGGACATCTCTGAAAAGATACACATGGGAAAAAATACTATCTCTGAAAACGCAGGGACACGTCTCTTTCTGACAGGTGTGGACAGGGCTGCCGCCTCGCATTGACTTCAGCATGAGTTAAGAAGGGACTGTGGGGTTGTGTCCCTCCCCTTTCCATCTGCTTAATGGATAATGAACCTGCTTTTAGACAACCAGCTCTTGCAGTTTGGCGGCCTCACCTACCTATCGATGCCCTGAGAGTAACTTCTTTTCAGGAGGAATTTGGAATAAAGAATGTGAGTGTGACAATCCACATCTTAAGTGGCTTTCATATGTGAGAGCTAGAAATACTCAATAGAATCTCCTTGTAGCTGATCCAGCATACCTAGGAAACTAGGAAAATTTCACAGAAAGATCCCTGGACATTGGATTCACTTTCCTTTATTGCCATCGGGGGAGAGGAAGACAGGAGTGTGAAGGACAAGACATTACATGGAAACGAGATAGCTACCTTTCATTTGGTCCATTTGCTTGGAAGTCATTGCAAGAGGCGGTGTAGTTATTAAAGCAACTAATTCCTAAAACCCATTACCTGTCTTGTAATGAAAACCCAAGTGGCTCACACAAGTCTGCTTTTTAAATCGAATTCTAAAGGAATTTCTAAAATCGGTTTGTTCAATCTCAGAAGTTCATGACAACGTCTCTTACCACGGATGAGCACTCACCAGCTGGGTGGCAAGCATGGCTGGCTGCTGCTATTTCCATAACTATGAGTATTGCCCAAAAACCATTTCAGTATATCTCCACTTCTGAGATCAGGAGCGTATTAAGTGAGACATGGGGCTTCCAACCTGCTCAGATGCTCTCTATCTAGCTAACTCTCTCGTAGGTTCGGTAGGTTATGATAAAGATAATTAAATGTTAATACACAGAGGCTAGAGTGGGAGAGATCAGTATGCTTCCCAGTGTCACACCAGACCCGTGGAGCTACTCTGTGAGAAAGGTAAAGTCTGCGCTTGGCTAAGTGCTGAGCTGTCGGCTTGAAGAGGAGTGGCGGACGTGGTGTCTAGAAAAGGCGATCGGTTGCTCATTATCCACATTTATGTATTTACATAACCAGTTAAACTCTCAGAGTCACAAAGGACAAGGGACAGTTCTCATTCTCATTCTTGGAAACGTGCCTCATCCCCCCAGGAGGATTTCCTGTCCCAGAGGGAACTCTTGACCCATGGCCTCCCCTCTTCTCTCAGCC